GTAAGATATAAAGATATACTGTAGATGTAAACATTGCACGTTTATTCCTGGGAAGCATTACTGTATCCCGCCGGGGAGTTCAAAGCTACTTTTCATTGGTTGGTGGCATGGCCACATTGACAACCGCTTCAGTGAGGTGCGAAAACTGTGAAAACTGTGAACTCTTTAGGCCGAAAACATAGGGTTTATTTTTGCGTGAATGACCTCTATTTAAATGAAATAATAGGGTATGTACATTTATCGGATTTTAACGAAACTTGGCCAAAATCTTCGTCAGATATTAGCGCACCAAAGTATGTGAGGCTTTTGTGAAAATTGAAATAGTTTTCCTGTGACGTTCCATTGAGTAACAGCAGTCAGAAAATTTCCTATTGTCCAACGTTAAAAGGGATTTCCTAAGCAACCAATAGAAATATCGAAAAAGCGTCACACATTTTGTTAGCCCATCAACTCCTGATTGATAATGTCCAGTCAGTTTGTCCGCGGTAACACAAAGGCTGGCAATTCAGTTTAGCCAGTACGGTCATTTTTGCTTCTACAGGCTTGTGTGTGCCTATCAAAACAAAAGTAGCAAAATATATTGTTTTCGGAATCTACAGTTTATTAGCTTAACAATGATATATAGTTTACCGCGGTTTTCTTTAAAGCAGTGTGTAAAGAAAGCATTTTCCGGCAGGCACCCCTGAAGGTCTACAGCAACCTTAAAAATAGTATTAGTCACACTGTTGAGCTCAAGAGACCTGTAAATCACGTAGGCATTTGTGGATGAAAGTTATGTTAGCATTAAAAATCTTTCCTTTTTTCAAATCAAATAAACACAAGCTTTGATATTATTGCTGGAAGATCAATTTTCGGGTCAAATCTACTTCGGTAAAGGGGTAAATTTATGGCGTGGATTTGCTACCTACCATTTGTTATTCATAGTCGAAAATACACCACTGAAACAGCAATAATATTTGTTTTTGTTTCAGTATCGAGCAGTTTGTGTTCATTGATTGACTCTCTATGTAATATGTTCTATTTGCAAACGTTTTGCTCTTGGTGCAATTCCTTTCTGTAATGCAAGTCTTAAATACAGGAATTGCACCAGCCTGATTGGCCGACTTCCAGCGGTGAAAAAGGAAAAAGCCGAACGCCATAATCTCTCTTCCTTCAGTCCAAAGCCTTTGATCTTCACTAGTGAAGTTATTTTGCCCACAGCTCCCGTTCTGAACCTGTGTTCGAGCGGCTGCTTTTCCTGCCTTTAACGCTTTCAATAATTAAATACAGGAATTGCACTGGAAAGAATACTCGACTTTGGTGTTGATTACATGACGTAATTATGAGATACTGCTGTTCAGAAGCCTTGCACATTCACTCACAATAACAAGAGCAGGAAATACTGAGGTAAGACTAAGACTGGAATGTCCTTAATTTAATTTCGTTATTAATTTAATATGGGGATGATATTGTTCGGGCGGGACATATATAGTGGCAAAAAGTGTCGATGTAACACAAAACAGCCTTCCAAACACAACAAGTTTAATGACAACAAAGAGAGTCACTAGCACAACAAACGATGTCGACCTTTCATCTGGGATTACAACCTTGTAGCCGTAATAACCTGCGAAAGATGACCAAGATTACCCTGCGAAGCGAAACTAGAAACAGAAACTATCTAACAACTTACCACATGATGAAAGGACGGCATAAGCAAGAGAAATCACAACTTAATCGTACTATACACGATTGCTTCTCCACGTGCGATTGAAAAGTGAACAAGCTACTGAAGCATTATGGTCTTACGTAATCTCTGTGGAAAATTCTGGAACCGTGGAACGGACTTAACATTCACGACTTGTTGAGGAATAGCCTTAACAGATATTCTCTCATTGTAATTTATTACAAGACTTCAAAGTTATCTATATTGTGGTATCAAGATGGAAATGTTTAATTTAATTTCCTAAGTGCTTCATATTATACCATCTCACAAGGTCAGTGGAGATTCTAGGTGTTGTGGGTTTTCAATTTAAGCAAAATTATTTTCCAAGGAAAGTTTGAACCTAAAAACTGGATTCTGGAGGGGGAGGGGGGTGGAGGGCAAAAGGTACACACAGAAGAAAGGGTATTGGCACAATGCAAATGCTACACTGATTTATTACCTGTAACATCATGCCATACCAAAGTAGAACTAATTCAATAACATGCCAACATTAAAAATATTTCACTGCAAGTGTACGATTATCTGGGACTAATATTTTTTTCAGTGACACTATGTAAAAGCAGCTGTGCATGTGGTATTGTAGGATCTAGCCCTAGAGTAAATTGAAATTAATGACTTGTAATTATAAAAAAAAATCAATATATTATTATTATGTATTATATAATAAATTTTCAAACTGTTAAGGAGCTCTGTCTCGGATGGCACATCTTGAAAAGTGGAGTCTAGGATTTTCAAGTTTGTCAATTACAAGCCTTCTCAATCTGCCTCATTCAAAGCCATAAGTCGAAGTTCCTAATAAAAGAGATAACTATAATACAAGAAGTGCTTCAAATATGTTCTGTACTTTACCTAAAGTAAGAACAAATTATGGAATATTCAACATAAGTTTTAAGGACCCAAAGTATGGAACTCAATTAGTGAAAATGAGCAAAACGT